GAAGGAAGGAAGGAAGGAAGGAAGGAAGGAAGGAAGGAAGGAAGGAAAAAGAGAGAAATAGATAAGGAAGGAAAACGGATGGAAGGAAGAAAAGGGAAGAAAACAAAAGAAAGAGACAGGGAAGGAAGGAAGGAAGGGAAGAAAAGAAAGGAAAGGAAGGGAAGGAAAGAAGGAAGGAAGGGAAGGAAGGAAGGAAGGAAGGAAGGAAGGAAGGAAGGGAAGGGAAGGGAAGGGAAGGGAAGGATTTAATTTTAATTTTAATTTTAATTTTAATTTTCATCGCTTCAAAGAGGAGATCCACGCGTCGCAAGGCCACCCACCGGACCACGGGATGCCCACGTTTTCCCGGCTCCACTCGCTCCAGTTTCCATGGTCAAACTCTTCCCGTCCCCGGACCTGAATGATATGGGGTGAATTCTGTATGGCGTCCACAATGGTGTAGGAGGTCAGTCCGTGGTTGAGGTGGACCTGGAGGAAGGAAAAAAAGACTTGCATCCTTCAGTTGGTCAGCGGAAGAAGACCGGGCACTAAAACACACGAAGAACGGCTGCAGGAACTGGGGACGTCGAGTCTAACGAAAAGAAGGACCGGGGGGGGGGACATGATAGCGGGGTTCTAATATTTTTTTGGGGGGGGGCTGTTTTCACCCCTGAACCCCAAACAAGACAGGGGTTTTTCCGCACACACACACACACATACACACCTCCCACCCACTTCCCATCCCCTGGGAGAAAAAAGAAAAGAAAAGAAAAGAAAAGAAAAGAAAGAAAGAAAGAAAGAAAGAAAGAAAGAAAGAAAGAAAGAAAGAAAGAAAGAAAGAAAGAAAGAAGCAGAAAGGAAAGAAGGAGGGAAGCAAAAAAGAAATAAAGGAAGCAAGGAAAAAAGGGAAGGAAGGAAAGGAAAGGAAAGGAAAAGAAAGAAAGAAAGAAAGAAAGAAAGAAAGAAAGAAAGAAAGAAAGAAAGAAGCAGAAAGGAAAGAAGGAGGGAAGCAAAAAAGAAATGAAGGAAGCAAGGAAAAAAGGGAAGGAAGGAAAGGAAAGGAAAGGAAAGGAAAGGAAAGGAAAGGAAAGGAAAAGAAAGAAAGAAAGAAGGAAATCCCACCTCGGAGAAGGTTTTGGAGTTTTTCACCCGGTAGCGTAGCTGGAACTGGAGGTAGTAATGCCTGGGGCCCCAGGAACTGGGGTTCTTCCAGGTGACGTGGAGTTTGTGGGGTTCCCTCTCCACGGGGTGGACCTGCACGTTGGCCGGGGGGTCTGGCTTCACTGCAAGGAGAAAGGGTGGGAACGCGGTTGGAAGGGGGGTCTTCTGCCCCAACCGGGTCTCCCAAAGAGCAAACACAGACCAAGGCAGCAGCCCCCCCACACACACACCTTTTAAGGTTTAATAACGAATTCTCGAATTCTGTTCCGCTAATTAGCGCCGACAAGAAAGAGCCTTGCCAAGTCGTTCGTCAAGGCTGCCCAAAACCCAGAGATAAGAACTCATTTACAAGATGATAGGTAAAGATAGATTGATAGATAATGATATAGATGATATAGATAGATAAT